GTGGGGTTTTTTTAGGCGGGGGAAATTTTTTGGGTGGTTGCTTTTTTTTTTTTTTTTTTTTTTTTTTTCTTCAGCAGCTTTCATATGCTTCTCTTCTTGTGTGGTCCCACTAAACTGAGTATATTTAACAGAAATACTCTCCCTCTCTATCTTCTGTGTGCTGCTCTCTTCTAAGCAGACTGTGTATAAGAAATCTGAGATCCAAAAAATTTTAGTCCTGACTGAAAACAAGGTAATGCTACATAGTTGCACATTCCAAATTTGTAACAGCATTCTACATTCTGGTTGTACACAAGTATTAGTAGATCTGCAGTTACCAATAAACGTTCCAGTTATATCTTTGTTGAATACTCTGTGCTTTCTTTTTGCAGGCCCTGCTACAATCTACAGTTCAACAGCAAGAAGCAGCTATTGAAAAACAGTATATACTAGCAATTGAAAAGCATTCTCATAAATGTGAAGAACTTCTTAATGCTCAGGTATGGATGTGCACGTACAAAAATCTTCATGATTTCCTTTTAGTTTCAGCTCTTTTCTGTTTGAAAAAATATTAACATACATGATCACCAAAGAAAATAATCAGTCTTTCACCTTGTGTCCTCAGCATAACAATAAACACAAGTATTTAAAAATGCAAAATAAATAATGACTCTTCATCTGTTGGGATCAAAGGTGTTTTATAACATTTCAACCTGCCTAGAACAGATTCAAGAAGGGTGTAGCACTGAGAAAAGGTTTCAGAGCAACTTCATACTTACTCCTTTAACAGCTGCCATTTTCTGTAGTCTTGGAGAAAACATGTAATTATTTTTAATTTATGTAGTTAAATGCAAGATTTCATTGTGATTTGCACAAATTTTTTGTCCAAATTTTTGATGCTTCTTAGATGGTAGACACAAACATCTGTTGTCCAGACCTATTTTTATTTCATAGAAACCTTACATAAAAAAAACCCCAAATCCTAGCTATGAGCAAGTACATAAAATTCAGAAATACACATACATGAATAGGTCTATATTGGCTCATTTAACATGACTTGAGTAAAAGCACACTGCATAGCAAGTATTTGGAATCACAGCAATTACTGATGAGTATCTGACCAGCGTAAACCTCGTTTGTTATTGAAAATAGCTTGGTTTGACTTAAGTACAGCTCTTGAATCAAAATAATAATGAACATTAGTATATAAGTTTAAAAAAATAATTTGCTAATAGCATGCTGAAGTTGTTTACATTGCAATTAACAGTTACCTTTTAAGCACTCGTAGCAATAATTCTGCTAAAAATACAAAAGAGAATAGCTTGTTTGTTTAATATTCTTGGGGTATATTAGACCTAAATACATCAAAAGTCAATTTGAAGTATTCCACCATTTCCAACAGTGTTTTATGACCATTTCACAGTTCTGACTATATCAATTAACAGTGCAAACGTATTAAATATATAAGCATCTGTATAAACAGTATGAAGGAAAGATGTAATAGTTTGGAGAAATCTGTTCCATTATGACTGAGGAGTTTATTGCACAGAGCTAGTTATTTAATGCTTACCATAAAGCTCTGCCTAAAAGGCAAGTAAAAATGAATTTTAAGAAAGTGTTTTGTGTTTCTGAACTGAACGTATTGTTTACTGACTTGATATCATTTTCTGAATGTTAAAAAGGAGTGAATCTCATGAAATCTGGAAGAATTATAGGAAGATTTTTTTGAGGGCGTACTTACAGATTGATGAAAAATATTGCTCCCGTGATCTGTTACATTTGCATCACAAACTAAAAGGTGGGGACAGAAATGTGAAAACATGTTCAGATTTACCCAGGGGGAACCCAACAATGTAAGGGACCTATTCTTGGTCGTAGAGCAGGAGAGTATTTATGATGCAACACAGGGCCCAGTTCATATCATGTCTACATTTAATGCAATTTAACACCCCCTTTGGGTCCCAGAAAAGGTGTACATTTTGTTCACAAACTTCCAAACCATTTCTCATTCAACTTAGTCAAGGTTTACTACCTTTAATTGCAAAATAAAACTGGGATTTTGAAGCCTGATCAAGTAGATAAGTGTGAGTGCTTATGGTAGGACTACCAAGTTTAATAAAATAGGATTTATACTAGCAAATTTTGTTCACTCATAAATCTTTGTTGAAAGTGATCCGAGAAATGTGTAGTACATTTTTATTCTTTTTGAATATTTTTGAATACATCTGTTCTTAAATGCATGCTTTGGTGTTTGTTTTAACATTTGTTTCTGTTCAAATGATTTTGTTCTGTGCTAACAGTTACGATTGCTGAAATGATTACTAATGATTATACACCAAGCTGATTAATATTCTATGTTATGGGATTGTACATGCATATCCACCTTTACATGGAGAGTTATGAGTATCTATATCACTGTAAAGAATTTTTTTTAGTGCAGCACTAATCACACAGTGCAAGTGTGTTCTGTACACAAATATGGCATCTTTTTTTTTTGTTCCCTTCTACTATTCTTGCTTTACAAGCAGTATTTTGCCTTCAGACTTCTAAGCCTGTGTAAAACTTTGTCAACCCACATAATTTTTTGTCCTCATTTGCCATTCCTTCTAAGTTTTCTGCTGTTTCATTTCCAGTTCCGCAAAATAAAGATTATCTCATGTAATACCTTCTTCCTCATGCTTTCTCCTAATCCCATTTTCCCCCTAAATTCCTATACCCCTCCCTCCCAAAAATATCTCTCTGAGAAGGAGTAAAGGCTGTTTTTCTCTGCTTGTCTTTAACCTATCGTTAGAGTTTATTTAAGTTTCTGATTTTGAAGCTGTATTTTTTCAGGGTGTTGTGATGGAGATGCATATTGAAAGTCTGTCTAGAGAGGTACCATACTGCTGATACTGTCAGTGTACAAGGCTGTATCTTCCAGAATAGGGGAAGATGTGAAAGGCCTAGTTCTATGGTTTTATCTCAGTTTCCTGCTGGACAAATTTCTGCAGTTCATCTTTGATCATTACGTGTGAGGTTTTGCAGCATACTGGCTAGCTATAGGTAACATCATCATCATCTGCAGAAGGGAACCATCAGCCCATCAACACAACCTTTCTTCAATTCTGTATCTTGTTTCAGGTCTGTCAGCTATCTTTTCACTGTACTCTTCTACTAGATCTAACTCCATAGGTCTGCGGTTTAGGATGTTGCTAAAATTGCAGAAACTTCTCCAAAGTAAAATTCTGAGCCATTTTCTATTCTGGCCCTTCTGACAGGTACCTTCCCTACCAATCCTAAAGAAAGTTCTGGTCTATTTTTGAGATTAGTTTCATGTGCTTGAAGTTCAGTATACTCTCTGACATACTATACTGAACAGCCTCTCAGTGAAGTGTCCCTCTGTATTAATCGTTATCAGTATTCCTTGCTTTTGAAACAAGCACTTGACAGATGAGCTGGCAGTATCAGTTACTACTCAGTTACTGCCCACAGATGCCATGTATTTCTACATCTACCCTTTTCTTAGTCCATTAGTGTCACTTGTCTTGAATATCTGATCTCAAATGTCCCCAAGGTCTGGAGCTTATGGGTTCCCTTCCCCCTTTCCTGGAATGTGTTGACAGGACCAATTCCTTCACAGAAATTGTTGATCACTGTAATGGGTGCTTCCTGGGGAACAATCTCTAGGGCTGCTGTTTTCTTCAAGGAAATACACTCTCATATCAACATTTCAAAAAGCAAACCAGACATTCTTGTGGCATATTCAGGGGCACCAGGGTCATGGGTGCCCTTCATCAATGAACAGGACAATGAGAAGTCTTCTCCTTTATGCCAGGAATCAGTCACATCATATAGTGAATATTTAGGAAAGCAATGCATGTCAATTGTGCATTTCTGCCATTTGAGGATATCAGAGAAAATGTGATTAGGAAACATGTCAGTTTATTACAAATTGGAAAATCATGAGTTTAATCCTTTTCTTTTTCTCAAAAACATATTTGTTGCCTCCTGAAAACAAACACCAACTTTGATCTTGTGGTTTAGCTCATGTGCTTTATGAAAATACATGTGAAAAACATGATCAACAAACTTTTGAATAGAAATTTTTAATACTCAGAAAATGAAGGCACACATAACAGCAACTTAATGAAAGTGCTTCGCAATAGTCAGGTATTGTGGTCAGTGCTAGACGTGAGATGCCACATGGGGTAGAACAATATGTATCTTGTAAAGTATGACTATTAAAAACAAAAAGAAAAACAACAAAAAAAAAACAAAACCCAAAACCAAACCAGACATCTGACAGTAAAATTTATCTCTCTGTGAGATTACTGACGAATTTAAATCATAGTTCTGCCTTCTTTAGTAAGTGCTAGCAATCTTTTATGACAAATGAGGCATGGAAAAGGTCTACAGGCTATACATACTTCGATTTTTAGCAGGAAAGAGCAGCAATTTTTTATATATATGTAATTTCAATTCATTAAATATATCTTATGGAGAAATATGGTTTCATCACTGAGACTTTGTAATTAAGTAGTTGCCTGGGCTGGATACTGGATGCAGCTAGCAGAGGCAGGTATCACTTGCAATATTCTGCTGTTCCATACTTCAATATGTGGAAAAGAGTGTCTTTCAGCTTTCCCTGTTTTCCAGTGTTTGAATAGAAGTAGTCTGTTCAAACATCAAAATAGGTTTTTCTTCTGAACATGGAGAAGCCATAGAGACTGAGTAACTTTAAAAAGCACAGACCATAAAAGGCACCATAAAAAAATGGAATAAGTAAGCATCTATTATTTAAAAGTATTTACTATGTAGGACTAGGATATTCTAAGGTATTTTCTCATTCAGGTTGCTCGACCATGAGTACGATAATGTAAAAGGAATGACCTGTTTTCACTGGAAGCCCTAGAAATGATGATGTATCAGAAGGTTCTCTCACTGTTCAAAGTAGATGGTGTTAAAAATGTAGACTACTTGAGATTGATTTTTATATTCTTTTTAAAACAGTCAATTACCTGTGTATCAAGGTAAAATACAACCTTAAATACCTGCAGCAAATCACTTCCCATTTATGAGAAATCACTTTCCCTCTATTTATTTAGCTTGCACTTTTCTTTCTGTACCTTGATGGTTTCCTTCCTTCCTGTCTTCTAAACAGTGTGAAACAGGCATTCATGGATGGGGAGGGATTAAAGTATATGTGAAGTGAGGCTCAGATCACACATTTCCATCTCTAAATTATGACTTGCCAATATTCCTTTTTGGGTCTTCCTGGGGGAACAGTATCAATCAAAGAGATACCACTGGACATTCTGTGTAATGTTTTCATGCTTGGATGTAGTTAAGGGAGATATATTTTACTGTGGTCCTTAATTTTGTTAGTCTGCATATTTTCCATTTTGATTCAAATAAAAGAAGAAAAAAGACAGACAAGGAATAGAAGTCCTTAATTCTGTAGTTCAGTTGCATGCATGTTCCTTTCCTGGGCTGGACTTCTTTTCTTCTACTCAGTAAACCC